AGGGTGAGATTCGTGTTACTGCTGATGCACCTGCAGATGGAAGGTAAAACCCATGCAGCTCCAGCAGGGATCCCAGTTGTATCGAACTCCTTGGTCATCCTGCCTGCATCATGCTAAGGCAACCCTTTACCTGCGAGCAGCTTCAGGCATTCATCATCATTTGACTCATTCTCTGTTTTAATCTCATTCGTGGCTCCTCTTTATGTGAAGGGCAAAATCCAAATTCTATCACGGGATATGGAAGGTCCTTCCATCCTCTCCCTGCCCCCATTTCCTGGATCATCCCTCTGAGATGCTGACTTCCTTTACACACTCAGACTCTTGCCCAGTGTGTCTTTTCTCTCTGGAATGAAAGCGCGTGTGTGTTCATGTACATGGTAGATGTCCACTCACTCTGCCCTAAATAATTGCAGAATGATGCAGCAAAGTTTGGTTCCTTCCTTGATGCTGCCATAGCCCCTTTTGGGGACCTGACCACATTGTGCATTTCTCTTTCCTTTCTGTGAACTGCTTAAAGGGCGGGGGCTTTGAAGCTCAGGCATCTTTGCATTCTCAGCAAACAGATGGAGAGCTGGTATCTTAGTGTGACCTCATACATTCCTATTGATTGATTCACATAATGACTATTTGCCTTATTTATAGCAATCTCTTTTTGGACACTAATAAAGTGCCTTTTCCTGAAATAGTAAGTTATAATTTATTAAAAATGAGCAAGAAAAATGGAATGATAGAACACACACAAAAAAAAGGGTAAGGAAGGGTGAGTCAACAAATCAGCGTGACATCACAGACTCCCAAAGTAGGTGTTCTTTCGACTAGCATCATCACTGAGCAGATAATACAATTGAGCCCTATTTTAAGTCACTTGCCCTAATTCACCTAGGTTGCACCTAGTAAAGGCAAGCGTGAATTCAGAGCTCCGACTCTTTTGCAACTAAAATAAAGCAAATGAAGAGGCCCACGAAAGACATTTCAAGAGGCAAGTCCAATGGACTCACAGTATAAGCAGGAGAAGGAACAGGAGTGAAAGAGACAGAAGGATTACTCTTGCACACTTACTGTCTACCCGGCACTTTAAACGTATCGATCCATTTACTTCTTATGCCAACAGCATCGGGGAGACATTGTTACTTTCCTTACTTTACAGGAGAGGCACAGAGAAGTGAAGAAGCAGGTCCAGGTTCACATCACCAGCAAGTGATGGAGGAAACTACTGGGCCCAGGAAACCAGACTCTAAAGTGCATGCCATTAGCACTACCCATGCAACTCAAGCCTTAGTCACACAAGCGAATCATTCAGAAACAACATCTCATAATTTATATTTACAATCCTAGCTGAACTCCTATGACCAAAGTGCATCAACAAACTGCATATTTCCCGAAGAGTCTGTGTTCTCTCCATCATCGTCATCTAAGGTAATTTCTGTGTACGTTTCCATCTCTCTTTTTTCCCCTCATCTCTTTTCCTCTTCATCCCATGGGGTGGGTGAGTTGAATTTTTAACATAAATTTTCCCCTGGTGTAGTATAAAGCACAATGTTTATATTTTAATATTCAAATAGATGTTGCACATGAAGAATTTACATTTGG